AAGCCCTTTCACCCCTAGCAGTGCTGTCACCATCTCCCCTTTCCAGAAAGTCAGAAGTGAGCCCAAGATCTTGCGGCTAGTAATGGGGAATTTGGGGGGGTGTTCTTGGTAGTCACGGTGGACAGGGAGGCCAAGTGGGACAGTCGCATGCAGAATTGTCCCACATCCTGCAGGCATTTGAGTGTCCTGCTAGACATTCATGAAGCAAAACACTCATTTACAATGACCTGAGCAAAAACACTCATTTACAATGACCTGAGCCTAGAACCTACCCCATCCCATGTAGTGATGAAGCCCACCACCTTGTAAGAACCCCACATCTCTGGTGCCTGAGTGGCTCAGTTGGTTAAGTGTCTGCCTTCGGCTCAGGTCATGATCCCAGGGTCCTGGGATCGAGCCCCATGTCGGGCTCCCTGCTCATCGGGGAGCCTGCTTCTCCCTCTTCCTCTGCCCCTCCCCCATGCTCCCCCATGCTCATTCTCTCTCTCTCTCAAATAAATAAATAAAATCTTAAAAAAAAAAAAGAACTCCATATCTCCTTGTGGTCTCCACCTTAATTTTTCTGGGTATGTTATCTTTGCTTAAGATTACTTTCCTTTTTCCCTTATCATCAGATCTGTTATTATTGGTGGGAAGGAATCAGTATCTTCCAGCTGGACTAAGAATTAAATTGACATGAGACAGATTAACAACAGAAAAAAAGCAAAGTTTTATTATGTATGCATGAAGGCCCCGTCATGAAATTCAGACCTAACGAAATGACTGAGGCACGTAGTTTTTATCCTTTTAGACAAAGAGACAGTAAAACTGTGAGGGATTGAAAGGACCAAGAAAACTTCATAAATTAGTAAAAAAAAAAAAAAATGAACCTCTTGGCTCTAAATGTCCTATCTCTGGTGGTAAGGGTGTCTCTTTACCTCCCAGTATACGGAGGGGACCTTTTGCCTGGGAGATTTATCTCTTGCTTTCGGGGTACAGAGGAGGGTCTGAGAGCTAGCCTCACATCGGCTATCTCTTAAGTAGCTTTTATTTTAAAATAACCAATATGTGGGGACACCTTGGCGGCTCAGTCAGTTAAGCATCTGCCTTCAGCTCAGGTCATGATCCCAGGGTCCTGGGATGGAGCCCTGCATCGGGCTCCCTGCTCCGCGGGGGCAGGGAGCCTGCTTCTCCCTCTCCCACTCCCCCTGCTTGTGTTCCCTCTCTCGCTGTGTCTCTCTCTGTCAAATAAATAA